TAGCATAAAATTCTAAGTGAACTACTGCATGTTCTTTTATTGGTTGCCTTACTATTTCTGTATGGAATGGCCCTATCAAAAAAAAAAAAAAAATTAAAGTCTACACAATTGAAAGTTGTAGCCTTGTTTTATTTGTATGTGATATAGTGTGTTGCTGTGTGAAAGTGTTTTTTTTTTTTTTTTTTTTTTTTTGTTTTTTTTTTCTCTCCCTCTCCTCTGCCACATAAACAACTGTTTATTGGTGCAAGTGGCTGCTGCTATGAGAAGGCAGCAAGGTAATGTTATTCTAGGTTATCTAGGTTTTGACTTCATAATTTTATCTCCATGGACTTGATTTGCATGTAAAATATTTAGGATGAAAAAATTGGCAAAAAAAACTTCATTTGTCTATATTTGAAAGTTATTGTACTGAATATTATCTGCAAAAAGCTAATGCTGGATTTTTTTAAAAAATTTTATGTTTAACAAATACTCAAAAATCTATTCTTTTATGCATTTGATTATACCTCTTTGTAACTGAGCAGAAAAAAAAATCTATATGCATGCATACATGCACACACTGGGAGGAAATTTTATGCAGATTAATAAACTTCAAATTTTGATAAAGCTGTTTATTCTTCAGTGACTACACATTTTCATTTGTATATCTGCACATGGTTAAATTTTAACACTTTAAGACACCTATACTTGTCAATTCTTTACCTTTTCTGTTCATAGTAAAACGGTTTTTAATACATCTCTATTTCTGTTTTAAAATTGTTTAAAATTTGACGAATATAACCTTTTTGTAAATAGTATTCTATTGATAGTTGTATTTAAATATTTAAATTTGTGTGTTTTAACTGTTATTGACCATTTAAAAATCTTAGTTAGATTTCTAAGTACCTTGTAGCTACTCTTTAAAATTGACTTTTTTTTTTAATTTTTATAATTTCAGTTCTATATTGTATACTTCTAGTTCTATTAAAAAAAACTATTAATTATATAATGTATAATTATTTTCATTTTATTTTTCCTCAATTCTGATTCATTACTGATCAGTTTGGTTTTGTTATTAAGCTAATAGTTTAGTAAGCTTATTTTTATATAGGAGAGAATTTATAGTTGAAATCTGTTCATTTATCTAGCAAAAAGTTAAATTTGTCAAAAGTTTATATCTAAAATCAACTTCATGGAGAGCAAAAATGTTATTTGTATTGTGCAAATTTACAGTCTGATACATTAGAATTTTTACTGCAGTTTTATAGATGTTAATATTTCTGTTCACAGTTAACGATATTTGCTGCCAATTTTCTAATATTGCACCCATCTCTGAGCTACATGTTGATTTTTATAATGAAGGAAGTAATTATAACTGATCATAATTTCCTAAAATTTGTGGTTTACTGTTTTTGTACCTGAAATATTTGACTTCTGTTGTAAGTCTTAAAAATAGAAGTCTTAATATATTCATTTTTACTTGTACCTATTTTAAACGAAAATTTTATCTGCTTTGTAACAGGGAGGGAGATTTTTTTTTTTTTTTTTTTATTTACCATTTTGAAATTTGTTTCAGGAATTTTGAAGCAAAAAAAGACAGCATATAAAATATTGTAGATGCTTCACAGCTTTATATATTGTTTTGTGTGTGTATATATATATATATATATATATATATATATATAGAATAATTGATTAATGCGAATATAATTGTAATCTTTGCTTCAAAATTTTTCTATCTTTTATTTTAAGAATTTAAAAGAAACAAAACAATGGAAACAACATTAATTTTACATAATTGATTTGTCAAACACATTTGTTCATTCTTATAAATGCAGAAATAAGACCAAAATTAATAATTTTTGTAAGTTTTTTATAAAATATAACTTTAAAAAAATTTTACTGCAATATTTTAAATGTAAATTTTCCCTGATCTTAATTCTGGGCTTATCCAACTTGGCTCCTATCATCAGCCTTTTTAATTTAATAGAATCACAAATCTCTATTATGGTGAAAAAGATATGCTGCAGCAGAAGACAAAATTTACAGAAATACAGTTGTGGTGTGATATTTTATTATTAGGTTTGTAAAATACATTATTTGAAACAACTGTTTAAAGTGCTTGTCATCTAAGAATTATTTTTTATCAATTCTTAAAATATATCATAAATGTTAATTTCAAAGTTACCTCACAAAAGAGTAATTTTCATAATAAAATAAGAAATAGATCTGTTGATAACTGGCTAATTCATTTAATCTAAATTTGTAAATATTTATAAAAGCAGTTTCATAAATATTTGCTTTTGCATATAGTTGAATTTTAAACATCCTTTTTTTTTCCATAAAAAGAAATGTACTGACAGTTTTAACAACTGGTTGATTTTTCTCTCTTTAAATTGAGTGTTAATGGTTATTGATGTAAATCTTTTTATTTAAATTTGCAATGTATTGAATCTTTTTAAAAAATCAGTTTATAGCAGCTCCAACATTCAAAGTTTTTTTTATATATGCTTCTTGTGTGTGTGTATATATATATATATATATATATATATATATATATATACACGCACACACTGGCAACACAACTTTGTAAGTTTTGCATTAATTCTTATTTTTCAGAAGTTTCAACTTGCCTGGAGAACCTATTATTTCACATATTCTTTCTATTCCTACTTATATTTTTTGAAACATGGCTGCAGTTTTTGTGATAAACTTTCTTGAAACCCTGTATTTTGACTATTTTATAGCTTGATTTGGTTTAGTAAATAACCATCAATTAGGGCTTGTCATTTAATTGATGCAGCAATTGTGTAAGTGGTGTATTGGTAATGTAATTTATATTTTGCTTTCTATAAGTTTTTTTTTTCCTTAAAAAAAATTAGTTTCAGAATTTGTATTACCTGATGAATAAGCTGAAACAAAAATATTTTAGAAGCAGAGACCTGAACATTTTTAAATATAAATCTTCTCACTTTCTGTAAAAAAAAAATTGCTAATGGGAATATATATTTTCAAAAATCTTTCAAAATAGGATTTTTTCCTCAGTTTGTATGCTGGAAAAGGATTAATTTTAAAAGTTATTTATTTTTTATTTGTATTACATGCAAAAAAGTCTTTGTTTAGTTTTAATAGTGACTAATTTTGCATAAATCTTTTTTTAATATAGATTATTTGTGAAGAAAATTCATACAATTTGGTCTGATATTAAGTATTGTTTTCTTTTATCATAATTCATTTTTTAAATTTTGCTTATTTCTTTGTTTGGATAAGCAATTCTTTTGATAGAATTTTGTAACTTCAGAATGTTTAATAAGAGTTACTATCTTAATAAAAAGAATGTACGTAGTTTATTATTTCATTAATCAGTAATTTAAGTAATGTTTCATGATAAATAATACAGAGTTAATTAAATTTATACTAGTTAATGTAGTGTGAATGTGTCCTATATATACTCTTTGCTGCTTCTCTGTAACAAAGTACAAATACATATAGTTTTTATATAATACAACTTTTTGAAAACATTGATATAATAAATCTAGCATCAAGGACTCACAGTTTTTCATTACAAGTTGGCTTGTACAATTTTTTATCAAGTGGATTTTGTTAAGCCTACTGATTATTAACTTATGATCAATCATTCTTTATTGGTTGATGCATATTTAGTTTCTTACCTGTTTAATTTTATCTTGCTTTTAATTTTAAATATTTTAAAGTCTTAATAGCATTTAATTAGTTTGTAAATCCCCCGGCTTCTGTCTGCTATATTCTCTTTTTATTGATAAATGAAAACTATACAAAACTCACTTCAGTTTATGCAGTAATTTCTAATTAAAATACAATACTATTTATTTTACACTTTTTCTTAGTAAAATCTGTTGATTCATAAACTATAATAAATTATCAGTAAAAAAAAAATCTTTGTTTTCAGAAAAGAATACTGTATTTGAAAGTGAATGGAAATTTATATTTTTTTTAAAAATGAATAATAAAACTTGCTACATATGCATCTGCAACTTTTCTTCCCAGCAAAAACATTTCAGTATGAAATAAGACAGACACAAATCATTTAGAAAATGTTTTTCACTTGGATGTTGCACTTAAAATAAGTTTTACTTATGTTTATAAATGTCTTTTCTTTAAGTTGTAATTTGCCTGTAAACTATGGTCATTTTTAAGTAATTTAATTCACAATATATCCTATTTTTCTCAAAGTAAATATTTTGTGTAATGTTTTCTTATAGCTAATTTGGCATATTCCCATTCATCTATTTTTTCACTATATATTCATGCATTTACATGTTCAATTTTAAATTAATTGTTTTCACATGTATGTATATTTACATCTAATTCTGTATTGTATCAATAGCTTCTTTTCAGTGAAAATACTTTTAAATCACTTTGTAAAAAAAAAAATTGGTCTGTTTGAGATTTCATAAAATGTTTTTAATGGTTAAAATATTCATACATTTTTTTATTGTCTCTTATGATGTGATTTTGAGCAGTTGTCTTACATTGACTTCTTGGCTACTGGAAAAAGTAAAATTCAAATTGTAATTTTCATAACACTTTGGAACTTATATGAAATAATCTAAATTTATTCAAATATGAATAATATATAGCTACTGTCTTACAATTTAAATTGCAAGTACTGTAGAATTCACATTCTGTTCGTTTTGAGCTTAGTGGAATGAGAGCTTGAGAGAAAGATGGGAAAAAAAGAACTGAGTGACTGCTGTTGTCTTGGCTACAACAGATTTTTCCCAATATGCTTTGTCAAAATGCTATTTGAAGAAGAAAAACTCTTGAAGAAAACCTTCATAAATATTGTTTTTCAGGTAGTTCCTGGCCTTAGTGGTTACCTATCATACAAAGATCGTAGCTTTTGCACGGTACGTGGTAGTCTATTCTGACTCATTGGTGGTGATAGTAATTAGTATAATGAATACTGTGTTGGTTATGCTTTTATCAAGTATTCTTTCTATTTTTAATTTTTACAAATAATTTTGATTTTTTTTTTTTTTTTTTTTTTTTTTTTTTTTAATCTACTTAGCAAAAACTCCTCGGTTTAAGTTGTTGATTACCACTTCTCAATAGTTATGTAAATAAATTATCACATTTGGTATGCATTTAATATGCATAGAATAGATTAAAATTCACTTAGCATTTTGCAAACAATTTTATTAAATAGTATGATTTAGTCAATATAGGATTTTTAAAGTAGGAAATAGATGACTATATTAATTTTGGAGATTAATTTTCTGTTTTTATAGCTGTCACCAACACAGTTGATGATCAATTATTGTATCTGTGTATGTGAGATTTTTGGTAAACTTTTTAAATAGCATCTTGTTTATAGTTGCAAATTTTCCTTAACTGAAAATCTTGAACATTAAACTTTTTAGAGTTTGAACATTTATCTATAAGTAATTTAATATATAAATCCTATAATGTTACTAATGGGACCAAATGTGTGAATTTGATTTTGAAATTCAAGAGAGTTGAAATAAGATCTCTTCCAATTAAAATTGATTTTTTTCTGATACTTCAGTTGCATATAGATTGTGTATGTATTATGGTCCCTTCTTTTTCTAAACCTCTTTATGTTTATTGTTTCTTGTATAATACAAAGTTATTAACTTAATCCATGTCATTTTAAATTCATTCCAATTTTAATTTGTATATAATTTTAGAGCAGTTTCTAGTGACTTTTCTCCTCTGATCACTGAAGTGAATATATAACTTAACTTTTGATGAATTCTTTTGCATTTTGAAGGAAATTACAAATAAATGGATCTTTGTTAAACAAAATATTCAAATTATGCAGTGTATAAAATTTATTTTATTCTATTTTTGTATTTTTTAACTTAAAAACCATATTGTAAATATAGTTAAGGCAAAAATTGCAACAAATTATTTCAGTTGTGGTTGAGATTGGATTTTTCTTTTTCTTTTTTTTTTGTACCGTGCTAAACTTAATCCATATTGACTTCAATATATTTTATACCTAAGATGAAAAATCATAATTTGGATAGAAGCCATGTTTTCTATAACTTCTTTTATAAATTGAATTTTCATTCAAGACAAGTTTTAAAATCTTTTAATTAAATGATGTGGCTAAAATTGTCTGCTGCATTAGTATTATGTGAATTATTTGGACTGCTTTCTTAATGTAGTCTTTTTTATTGAATATATAGTATGCATTTTTTTTTCTCTCTGATTGACTAATGCATTTAGATATATAAAGTAGTATTGACAAATAGTGCTAAATTAATGGTTGATTTAGATTAAGGTAAGACATGGTATTTTCTATAAGAAACTAAAAATGAATTAGAATCTAAAAACGGATTCTTTAAAACAATTATCTAACATTTGCTTTGGTTAGTGATAAATTCTGGTATACCAAAAAGAAGCTAAGGTAGACCAAAAATATTGTTTCAAGAATTTGTGGAAAACTTACTGATACCTAATTCATCTTAGTTTCTTGTAGAAAATTGTGTTATAAGATAGAGGATATTTTGTTTAGATTATGATTAACCAAATTCTAATGATTTAGAGCTAACAACCTCTTTCTTCAATTAATTTTATATTAACTTTTTATTTTTCTTTGATTTAATATCTCATGTTTGGTTTACTGTATTGGCCGTTTTAAATGTCCATGCAATGTTGATTTCTATGTAACTGCCGTTCACACCTTAAGCAATCATCAGGTATATGTCTAATAATTACTTAAAATATAGAACATTCAGTGTTGACTTTTACATCCACATTATCTATAGATTCTCTATTCTTAGTATTCCTCTTATAATTATAGCAATTAATTCCAACAAAAAAAAAAATATATTTTTTATCTTTTTAGAAATATTTTAAAGCAACTTTGAGATATATTGGAACTTTAATAACCATAAAATAAAGCAAAATATACTTTTCAATTTTATTATATTTTAAATAGTATCTCAAAATATACTAAATTTATTTATAAATACTTTTTAGATTTTTTTGTTTGTCCCTTATTCAGAGAACAAAATTTTGTTAAATGGTTATGAACAAAAGTGCCATAATGATTAGTCATTCAGTAACTATATGATAGCTACCTAGTTAATTTCTGTTTGCTGTTTGAAAACATCACTTATAAGATATGTTTTGATAATTTTTTTTAATAATGTTTTTAGTTACACTTTTCCTGTCTAATGAATGCATTAACTTGTGGAAGTTAATTTTTTCTTAAAAGTTGAAAATAACAATATAAAGCCTCTTAACATCTACTGTGGTGGAAAATATTCTCAGCATCATTCAACACTTCTTTCATGATTTTCAATGCCTTACTTTAATCATAATAACACTTTTTCATGGTAATTTAAAAAATATTTTTTTTTTCCAAACTGTTTGAGAGCAATCATTAACTGAACATTTTCTCTGAACTATTTTAATTTTGATACAGATGTAATGTAATTTAATTTATTGCTAAAAAGTAAATATGTAATTCTAGTTTGAAATAAGACTCATTATAAAATAATTATTTCTGAAAAAATTTAAAATTTGAAAAAAAAAAATTTATTATCAATTATATTTTTCCTTGTTCAGAAGGTGTATAATTACAAATTATCCATTTTTTAGCATAAAAAGTTTTGGAGTTTTTATTCCCAAGTAACTGCACAGTCTAAGTATATGGTGATATTGTAAGATAGTTTGCCTTCAAATTTGTCTTTTGGCAGAGTAGCAATAAATATTGATATAGTATCAGAATTTTATCACAGCTATACAAAGAAAAGGGTGGTAATCCAATTACCAAAACAATACTGAAGAAAGTAATGTTTTTTTTTTTTTTTTTTTTTTTTTTTTTACATATGAATTAATCTTTGGTAGGCTTGTAATATTTACCAAACAAAATGTTTTTCTTTGTTTCTTTTTTCAATAATACCAAGAAAAATTCATAGGCTGTGGGGAATTATTATTGTTATATTTTATTAATGACAATCAGTAATTTCAATTGAATCAATATAAACGCAATTTTTCAAGTTCTTTACAGATAAAATTTTAGTTTCTGAAAAAAGTTCCTTATTTCTGAATATTTTAGCATATGTAGTCTTGGCCATGGCACTGTTTTGGGAGTTCTTTTTTTTTTTTTTTTTTTTTTTTTTTTTGAAGATCTGCTTTGATACTTTATTTTTATCTGTGCTTTATCCATGCAGCTCATATTTGTTGCCTATGTTAACTACTTTTATTTATACAACGTACAATATGAGCATGAATAACTGTTAATATCAGCTTCATATGGAATGCATCCTTTGAGAACAGATGTTAAAATAAATTTAAGTTACTTTTATGATTTAAACTTGACTTTGCAGTAGATTATTGGTTTGAAATTTGTATATGTTTAAATTCAATATTATTGTCCATTAGCTTATCTTTCTAACTTATTCTCTATCTTTTTACCTTACTATCTCTACCAATTCATCAGATAAATAAAGCATTTACATAACAACAAAAAAACTAGATACTATGTCAAAATTATCATGTGATATTTTTTTTTTTTTACCTTATTGTTCACTTAATAAGAGTTAAGAGCCACTCTTGGTAGAGAGTTACAGAATCCAGTTATTTTATGGATTTAAGAATTATAAATTATAAGGATATGTAAGATAGATAACTGTTGACCCTAGATTTGAAGAAGCTAAGATTGTAGTGGTGAGAGAAGCATCCTCTCAGAAGTCTGTTCTGTAAAGCAGCGGCTTCCTTACAATTATAATGTGAAAGGTATGAGGATGGTTTGCTTATTTGTACAATGCATGGCAAATCTTACCTGTTAAAGTCTGAACTGCTGGAAACAGAGTATGTAGTTTTTCTTAGAACATCTTCCATGGAAATAGCATTAACACATTGGTAGGCTTGTAGTGTGGAGAATAATTCATCACCTACAAGGCTGCTTTTGAACTCTTATCAAAGTTGGAAAAAAGGATTGGACAAGCTCCAGCCCAGATATGGCAGCAATACTTCATTTCAGGTCTGATCTAACTCTTGTAAAGATAGAGCATGGCAAAAAGAGTTGGTACTTTCTGGACTGGTAGGAAGAGCCTACCATTTTTCCAGCATCTTTGTGATGGATTGTATATATGAGTTTCACAAAAGCAGTTGTTTTTTTTTTTTTTTTTTTTTTTTTAACACTTCCTATAATTTAAATAGTTCCTGCAGGTTGTTTTTATTTTATTCTTTTGCTCTTTTATTCTTAAGATGAGTTAAAATTTCGTGTTAAGTTTCAGTCAAATGTCATTTAAAAATTTGGATTCTATCTTAAATATAACATACAGAAAATATTTTGCTCTCATCTTTCATTTTTTTTTTTTTTTTTTTGAGGATATTTCTGATAGATGGTTATTGGATTTCTCCTGTCAAGTTAAAAATAAACAAAAAAAAAGACAAAATCTTTAAGTATCAGTTTCTTGTTTATCTTAATTTATAATCTAAATAGAATATTTTTTTAATTTGTTAACCATCCATAATTTTACTTTTTAAACCTCACCTAAAGACGGTTATGAATACAATTTTAATGTATTAGTTTTCTACTCTTTTGTTTTCTACTGTTGGTGGTTTTTTTGGGGGTTTTTTTATACTTAAAATAATTAGATTAACCATTGATTTATCTTTATAAAATATTTTTTATATTTATTTCATTTTAATTTCTCTTGAAATTTTGATCTTTTTTTTTTCTTTTCCTCCAATATCCTCCTCTCTCCACACACATGAAATAAAATTATTGGTACTTGAATATTTCCTTTAGAAATTTTGAGTAATTTTCTCCTGGGTGGGGAATATCAATATTTTTCTCAAAGTAAACTTAAATAAATAATAATAACCCAAGTATCTGTCTATATAAAAAACCATTAAGAAAAGTGGAAATGCTTAAAAGTTTAAACTTAATATATTTAGTACTCTGCTTTTGTTTTTTTTTGTTTTGTTTTTTTTTTTTATTTTTATAGAAATCTGATTCTTGATATGAATGTTAGTATATTTTACTTATCCCAACAGATAAAATTGCTAAAATGACACAATTTTTCAGTTTGTTTCTTCTATAATATAAATACATAACGTATATAATTTCTAGGATACTGTAATTTACCTATGTCAAATCTTAAATGGTGCATTTTTTTTTTTTATTTGTCAGAAAATGATTTAGTTTTATATAAATTAGTGATTTTTTTATATGTGAGCAAATATCAAATTCTGTCAACTTTGTCAGTATTTAATGTGTTCTTTGAAATCATTTTGAGTCAATTTTCATTTTGTATTTTTTCATTTTGTGTTAGTTGCAATTTGAGATACTTTCTTTTTTTTTTTTTTTTTATTACTATGAACTATGCAAATTTTCTTGTATATAATAGCATACTTTTTTTTTGTTGCTGTTTATAATTTCATCTTATTCCATGATACATATCAACACTTCCAGGCTCAGTAGTAAAGATGTACAGCTCAGCTAAAAACTTAGCATTTTAGTTTTACATGATAAATCAGAACTTGCTCAGCTTAGAAAAATGAGGATTAAGATACTTAAAAAAAAATGTTCCTCCCTTCATCTTCCATTTCTTTTTTTCAGTGCAATTTTCTCTGCACTCTTTTGTGTGTGTGTGTGTGTGTGTGTGTTTATTTCTTTTATAAAATTTTCTGTTTTGAAAATAGCTTCCCCTTTTATACTCTTAATTTTTTTTTTTATTGTTATCTATATAAATACATAGGATTCCTTAAGATATTTTTGAAGTCATTTTTGCACAAGCAAAAGTTGGTAGCAAAATGCCTGTTGAAATGATTTTTAGTTATTAATTTATAACTTTTTATAATTAATTTTAAACATAGAAATAACTTTCTTTTTCCAGGTTCTTTTTCTTGATATTTATCCATAACTGTTATTAAGTATGTTAATATTTAAGGGTCAGTTCAAAGCTCATTTTCTCATTCATATTCCCTTAAATGTTACATAAATTTCTTTTATCATTCCAGTGGTCAGAAGAGCAAATTCACTCATTTTCTCCCATTGTTTATTATTCATGCTTTTTTTTTTTTTTTTTTACATCATCCAGTTATTTAAAAAAAAATATTTTTGTTAATTTATAAAGAATATACTTTACAATTGTCATTTATGATATTTTGTTAGTATTGCAAATTATTATTCAAATAATTGAAGACATACTCATAGAATTCACAATCATTAAAATATTAAAATTGTTATAGATGTTCAGCTCTAAATTTGTATGTTTTGTACTGTAACTTTTTTTTTTTTTTTTTTTTTTACAGCTTAAACTTTGTATTATGGCTGTAATAGGAGTTGTCTAGACCCTCCCCATTTCATGTAATCTTTATTTTTCAGATAAAGCTTCAATTTAGTTCATCTTGTTTTCTTCACCATATTGTCTTTCCCTTTCAGTTAAAAGCAGATTTTATGCAGCTACTTAAAGAAACCACCATAATTGAACGTAACTCACGCTGGAGTGAGATTAAAAAAAAGATTGACTCCGATCCCAGATATAAAGCTGTTGAGAGCAGCTCTCGGCGTGAAGATTGGTTCAGGGATTATGTAAAAAACATAGAAGAGGTAAGTTTTTCTCTCTTCATCAGCTGTAAAATATACACCAAGCCTACCAATTATGCATATGTGTATATATTAACTTCTCTCAAATATGCTTTAGTTAATTTGACTACCTAAAGACCATAGTAATTTCCCACACATAAATATGGATTGTTTTTCAACATTGGAAAAATTGAGTAATGCTAATGATTAACTCATACATTTAAACAAGTTTAATGTATTTTTATAAGTAAAATGTTTTTTCTTTTATTCTTTTATTTTACTGAAATTAGGAATCTGATGATGAAGATCGCAAAGAGAGAGAGAAACAGGAAAGAGTTGAGGCTAGTCTAAGGGAACGAGAGAAAGAAGTTCAACGAACTTTATCCAACTCTCTGAGAGAAAGAGACAAAGAGAGAGAACAACATAAGAAAGATGAAGCAATCCAACATTTCAAAGCACTTCTTGCTGATTTGGTAATTATCAAGTGACAAATGCTGTTTGAAAATGTATTATTTACTCATATTTGTTTTTATTTTGTCAAATATTTCACTTAAATAATTCAACTCCTTTATTTTATTGTCCTCTCTTTATCAATTACTGTAACCATATTGTGGAGAGGTTGGAGGCAGTAATCTAAATTTAGTAACTTTGTAATTTTTTATCTATGGATAAAATATGCTTACATGCATATTGTCAAACTTCATTTGAAAAGGACTAATTCTAATTTTATACTATCTTGAGAAAATTTAGCAGTTAATACAGGCTAAGTAGAATCTACTGAGGATCAAGAATTTGTGATATTTTTTATACTAAATAGAATTTTATTTAAAAGATATTTTGTACAAAAGAAAATTGAGTAACTTCCACTCAAACAAGTTGCAGGTATGTGTGTGTGTGTGTGTGTATATATAAAATATGGCAAACTGGGAAATTTCTTGTGATGTGTTTCAGGAATTTTTCCAGTTTGTTGAATACTGTTGAGATATATATATATATATATATATATATATATATATATTGGGGACATTGTGTTATCTGATAAATGTTGCTAATAAATTCCCTGTTCTTAAAATGCTGTAAGGTGTCTGTAATAGATGTAAATGCCTTTCTTTCCTTTTTTTATCAATAAATATTTTATTATTTAATTTTTGTTATATATGCTTACATAAGGAAATTGTTTAATAGCTGTGGCACCTTTTATTTATTTTTAAGCTTAATTTTTGTGCATGCGTGTTCCCAACCTTGTAAATATTGTCTAACATTAAAGGAAATTAAGTAAAAATGAAAGTTGTGTAGTAAGATTTGCAAAGTTAATTCTCAACGAACATATTCATTTAGCATCAGAAAATATTGCTTATGTTAATTATGCTAAAAAAACTACAAGCTTCCAGGCAGAAACTAATTACCAACATGGGAAATCCTTAGGTATAATCTATTATACCCAAAATGTTGCATGCAATATGGACAAACTGTCAGACAACATCCTTCCTAGTTATCCCTAAGTCAAGCAAACTCAACACAATGATGTTGAGTGGTATAATCATTTGGATGCAGATATAGTGCCATAAAAATTTTTTTTAGAATTTATTCTCAGTGACTATTATGTATATAACACAAAGTATTGTAATTTTGAAATATTTGTATTTTTCTAATGGGGTTTTGTGTAGCAATCTTAAAATTAACTTTTATCTTCAATTTGGAAGTACAAAAATTTTCTAGTATATTAAATTTCTTAACTGACAAAAAAATCAACTAACATGCATTAATTTTTCTTATTTTGAAACTTTTCTATAAAAATTCTTGATGCACTCATAATTGATAATGTTTGAAGCCTTGACCTTTTTTTTTTTTTTACACCTTGTCAAAGAACCAAAAAATGTTCTTTTTAAAGTTTAGTATTTAATAGAAGCAGCCAAGTGTTCAGAATTATTTCATATGCACAATACAGGAGACTTCACTTATAATTTTTCAGTATATTTTGATTTTAATTAACACAGTTTTAAGTATTGACAACAGAACAACAGGTACATAGAATAATTTTTTTTTTTTTTTTTTTTTTTCAGGTTAGAAATTCTGAATCTTCTTGGCGTGAGACAAGGAAACAACTTCGGAAAGATCATCGTTGGGAACTTGCTGATTTGCTTGATCGTGATGAAAAAGAAAAACTCTTTGAAGAACATATTGATATTCTAAATAAGAAGAATAAGGAAATGTTTCATAAGCTCTTAGATGAAACTTTACAGGTAACAAAAAGAAGCTGTATTACAATAATTTAAACTAAAGTTATGAGCACTTTTTTTTCTTTTTGAGATAACTTAAAAAAAATTAAATTTATTTATACTTACCAATGCAAGGAATTAAATTTAAAATAGTATTCACAAATTTATACATAGGAATTCTGCAAATAGACTTATTTAAGATAGGAATATTTAAAAATTCTTTACAATAATTAATAGTAGGAAACTAAAAAAAGGTCAAGCATGTAAAGATAATTTTTCAGATAACTTTGTCTTTCTCTTCAAACCGGTTTTAATTTCTGTATATATTGGAAAATCATAACAAAAAAAAAAGCATCACTTCAAAATTTACTTTAGTTTAGTTCCCTTTTCTTACCTGATAGAAATAAGCAATCAAAACTAATAACCTAATATTATTTCTGTTCTATGAAATGTAAAGCATTTTTATTTGGTGTAAATTCACAAAAATATATTTTTTTTTTTTTGTAATTTATAAAATTCTAATGAAACATTAAATTACTTTTCTTTCTTTTTTCCCCCTTTTTTATTAATTCCCAAAGAATTTTCATATAATTTTAAAAAGTTATTATCTCTATTAATTTACCCTACATAGTATCTTTTCTGTCCTTCCTTTTAAATATTCTTGCATAATTTTCTTTTTAAAGATTACTTTAACTTCTTCTTGGAAAGATGTAAAAAAGATGATTAAAGAAGATCCAAGGTATTCCAAATTTTCTTCTAGTGATCGGGTAAGTATATTATTGTACTTGGTGTTAGTTTTGTAAGAACTTTATAAAATAGAATTCTAATTGATGTTACTTATATTCTTACCTATAATTCTCATGCAATTATCTAATTTATACCATAAAATTCAAATCTTGGTTACTGAATAACATTTTTCTCATGTAAAATTTTAAAAAAGTCACCACAATATGAAAAATAAAGAGGAATAATTAATATCAGTGAAAGTGAGTTTATTGATGACATACAAATTGATTAAGTTGTAGATTGAAGAAATGCAGTTGATAAATGAAGTTTGGGTGAATTTTTCATTTATAAATTAGGTACAAGCAGTTATAAAATTAATGTAGACATCAACAATAAATATTACAGCATTTGTTACTTCCTTCACATTCAGATTTTAAGTCTACATAATTTTTCTGTAGTTATTTCCAAAATTATACTGAATCATAGAACTATACAAGTAACATAAGAGATTTTGGGGATTCCCTTTCTAAGCTTAAAATTATGCATTTTTTTTTTTTTTATCAATTTTCTCCAACAAAGCAACAGAAAACATCTAGTCATAATTGAATAATAAGGTATTTATGTTGTTTCTTTTCCTACCTCTTTCAGAAAAGAGAGAAAGAGTTTGAAGATTATCGCTATGAACAAGTTGCCCAAGCAAAGGCTGATTTCCGAGAATTATTAAAGGAGACCAAATTAATCACTTACAAGTAAGAATTTATTTCCCCTTTTCAATTAACAGAAAAATGATTTAAATTTAAAACTATACAGAATTATTGAATTGATTCCATACTTTTAAAAAGATAAAAATTTAATTTTACAAAGTTTTGCCAATTTCAAATTATTTACATTAAAAAAAATTTAATACTTCATATAATTTGATGCTTTTAAAATACTTTTTATTATTTTAAGGCAAGTATTAAAATATTTTTAAAATCTGATCATTGAAAGCAAATTCATATTTTTATATGAATTTAAAATGAAATACATTTTTATTGTTGCGTGTTAATAAAAATAAAGTTTGGCTATATGTTTTTGTTTACGAACCAAGTAATTCAATCAATTTATTTTCCTAAATTTTCCTAACAAAGACTACAATACTTCTTTATGTAGAATATTCTATAATTGTGTATTCATTGAAGTTTTAATTTCTCTTTTCTTTTTATATCTGTAACAGATCTAAAAAAATGATTGAAGAAAATGAAATGCATCTAAAAGATATTGAAACAATTTTACAGGTGAGTCATAAGTTTCTATAATTCTTCCATATCTCCCCTATTCACTATTGTTATAATTTATCATTAAAATTTTATTCAGTTTAAAAATAACCAAGTTATTAAACATATTTTATTTTTTTGCAGATAAAATTAAGAAACTGTTAAACCTGATTTCCATTTTCTAAAGCTCACCAAACTCCTCAAAAGGGAAACTGTATGAGTTATGTATGACAGATATGCTGTTTTAAACACAAGTCTTATTACTACTATCTTAATGCTTATCAACTTTGAAGTATTTTAAAATCTCAATTAGGTTTTCTCCAGATTTAAGATTAAAATATCTTCCAGTGATCGTCATGACTTGTCTCCCACCCACCATCACCATATCACACACACACACACACACACACACACAAAAAAAAGTTAGGTGGGAGTAAATTTTAATTGCCAAAATCTACCCAGGACCATGAATTCTGGAATGAGTTGGATCAAGTGAATTGTACATAGTGTTCTATATTGAATTTATCCTAAGCACATTTTGCGGATAATTTTTTTTTTTTAAGAAAAAAAAAGAAAAAAATTTTTTTAAATTTCTTAATACACTGTCTTATGTGTGTGCAAAAAATTTTTAATTGTAGAATGATCGGAGATATCTTGTGTTGGATTGCATACCTGATGACCGCAAAAAGATTCTGTTATCCTACATTGATGATCTGGACAGAAAAGGTGTTCCTCCTCCACCCACAGCATCTGAACCATCCCGAAGAACTACCAAATAATCTCATCTATTTTCAGAGATGAAAAGGCTTAATATAACATCACTTATTCTTCACCCACACACTCAAAAGCTTTCATCTATCATTGTTTTTTTAGCTCACAAACACTGCAGTTGCTGCTATTAACAGCATATTGTATGTTATGTACTCTCCCATGGCATGTCAACTGGAGCATTATAACTTTACTATTTGTCATCTCACAAGTAGCAACCATAGTTTTGATTCCCCACTCCCCAAACTACTAAAGTTTCATTACAACAAATTTGTAAATTATAATTAAAAGATTAAGAATCAACAATGTTTTCTTTCTATTTAAAGTTTATTTTTCTAGTTTTTTGTATAAGTAAACATGCTTTTCATTGCTTACCAATCATTGTTTTTTATCAGTTTTAATACTAGTTTCATTCAAATTAGATAGAACAATAAAAAGAAAATTTATTTTATCTAAATGTTTCAAATGTAATAGATTTTGAGAGCTAATGAATATAGAGGAAGTGGGGCTTTAAAGTTCTCAACCTGACCTTTTTTTTTTTTTCTTCTAAGAGTTTTAGTCAGATTGAGGCCTTTCAGCCCAACTCTTGTAGTTTAGTTGAATCCATTAACCGGAGTATACAGAATTCTTATTAAACAGCACCTAAGAGAGTATCAATTTTTCAATTTGTAACATAAGCCACTACAATTTGTTTACATTACTTTGAACTATAGAGTTTGAGAATTATAAGAAAAACAACAATTATGAAGCATAGTGCAAAGAATTGTACATACAGTTAAAAAATGTATTTCATTGCCTGTGAAGTGTTTATATTTAAGTAAAATGAGACTAAAAGCAGTCACAATATGAATTAGTCATAAATTTTTGTGTGGCTAACTGAAATTTTACAAAGTACAAAATTTGGATAATGAATTCCCCAGGCATTCACTATCTATATTTTCCTTATAGGGTATTTAATGGACTTATTTTTACAAATGCTTTGAATTTATTTGCATATACTGAAAACACTTTGCCTTTTTGTTTTATAACCTTCACATTTTGATACTGTGACTGGGCCAATTGTTACATTAGAAACTAGTGAATAAAATTCTGATTAAAAAAAAATGTTGGCATTTCAGTTTAATTAGAATAGAAACATTTATATTTGATTCCTTGAAAAAAAAAAAAAAAAAAAAAACAAAATAATTTAGTAGATTTATTTTACTATTTTTCAGCTGAACAAAGTTAATTTTATATTCATTAATATGAATAAACTGATAAATGAGAATACCAGGTAGTTTTAAGATGAAATGAATTTAATAAATCTAAAAACGATATTTCCTTTTTGTTGGCTTTGCATTTTTCTTAAGGATTTATCTTTGAAAATTTCTTATTGAGGCAATTATCTAAGAAATGTTTTTTTTAAAAGTTAATTGAAAAAAAATGTTTGTGCTCGTTAAAGTTTGCAAATTGGGGGAAAAAAAATTATATGAATTTTCTTTTTCGTTGTTGTAGAGCCCAACAAGTTGCCTATCAAAGAAATGAGCATCAAATTTTTAACAAAATGATCAATTTATATAAATAGAACCTGATTAAAATTACACTGTCAAGTGAACTTGAAGGCATCAATGAATGAAGAGTAAAATTCATTTAACCATTACACCTTCATGGTGAATATTTAGGGAGCACTAAGTATATAAAATTTGTAACTTCATATGAATTTAAGCAGTAAAATATTCATTAAGCTAAACTTTGTAAGTATATAATTTCATAAAAAGAATATAGTCTGAACAAAAATTGTGTGCTTGGTGTATGGGAAAAAAAAAAGATAATTCATTGCAATAACTAAAACTTTCATTTAGTTAACAAGAGAAATGTAATAAAGCTAGTGGAATCATATTAGCTGAGAGGTTTCTTTTTAAACACACACTGGAATGGGGGGTACTTATCTCTGACACAACATATATTTCAGCATAAAATTAAAATTGTATAAAGCAAAACAAAAAATCTTAATTTACAGCAATTACATTTTTAATTTTTTATACTGATCAAAAAACAATATTGAAGTAATTGTATCTTGTTGGAACAGCACCTTTTCTAATGAATGAGTGGTTTTCCAATACAATGAAAATGTACAAGTAAACAGATTCAATTAACATAATTTGGGATCAAATAGGAGGGGGAAAATCCAATAAAACCATTTGTTATTTTAGCAACTATTATGAGAATGTAAATTATCATAATTAACAGAAGTAAAATCTAAATGTGTATGAAAATCTTTCAGTTGACAATTATGTTGGGGACGGGTTTTAATCCTATAAATCTTAAGTCTTGTTAAAAAATAAATTTATATATATATATATATATATATATATATATAAAAAGACCAAGAGCCAAAACCAATATGTCAGTAAAAACAAAGTTATCTACTCATATTGTTAAAAGGCTGGTCACCGGCTGACTGGCAATTTACAAGCAGCACTGTACTTACTGCTTATTTTATATATGTGTATTTATGCACCCTGTCTTTTTATGCAATAATGAAGACCAAAGGGAAGCAGCATTCATGAACTGCTGCTACATCAACAACTTGGAGATAGCTAAAAATCTTGTTGCAGCTGTGTCATGAAAAAAGATGACGACTTTAAAATTTTATTCTCTGCATTTATCATCAGTTGGTTTCTCGATGCTGAAACAAAAAGAAAAATATCTACCATGAAATTTGATCAACACAATAAAAACTATACTAAGAAGAAAAAAAAATACATATTAGATAATTTAGGGGAAATGACAACTACTGCCATATTGAAGAATAAGAATATAGGGCTGAAAGCTATCAACCGGTCAAAGGGATTCCAAAATTGACATTTAGTCCAACTTTGAGAAGTGGTTAAATCTTTTCTGTACCTGTTATCTATAGAGGTTTTTTTTTTTTTTTAAACCCTTATAAATTTAAAAAAAAATTATTATGAAATGATAGTGCAAAAGATAGGAAAGGTGCAACCATATTTCTAGATAGCTCTATACATGCTCAAAGAAATTGAGTACGAAGTGATTTTCAAGAGTTATAAAAGCATCTTTTTCACATATAATTTTTAAAAAACAAAACAAAAAAAAAGATTTGCATAAAAACAAAGTATTTTAAGATGTTTTAAAAAAGATAACAAAAAAGATCTTAGCATTACATTTAAATTTCTTTTAGGAATTTATAGCAAATTTATTTTTTTCCAATTTTTTTTTTTTTTATTAAATGTATGAGACATTAATATAAAAAAATTTGATGTTTGGTCATCTGATATGACGAATAATTTAGTTAATTAAAAAAAAATAAAAAAAATGACTAAACCAGTACAAAAGCAAAAGTTCAGAAATAAGCAGATAATAAGCATCATTCCCTGTGTCATTTGACATGGGCATCTATGAATTTTATTAATTATGCATATAATTCATCAAAATTTGCTTGAAATCACTTAGTGGTATTGAAAATACAATGGGGAAATTTCACAAACCCAGTCACTAGTACACAGAGGAAGAGTACTAAAAATTATTTGTAACCTCTATAATGTTTTGTTATTCATATTAGTATATTAATTCATTTCTGAATTCCTTTCCCTTACTAATTTACATAGATCATCAGAAGCATTAACAACAAAGGAATTCATCTGTAAGTGTTTCTTTACAGTAGGTTTTATGAAATCAAAGTTTTTTTTTTTTTTTTTTTTTTAACATTTAGCTGTAAATGCATAAAATTTCATGCACAAATCATACAGGATTTGAGTAAAATTCCACTGAAATTTCCTAATTTTGGAACTTTGCATAACAAAGTAAGTATATAAACTAGTGCAGCACTGAAGAGATGAATGGATAAAGAAACACATTATTGAGAATATAAATGACTTTGTAAGCAGGCCTAAAGCCTGCTCACGGAATCAATTGTGACCAGGTCGCTTATGACTACTAAAATCAAATGTAAACGGCTGATGACCAAACACTCTGGCTACCAGGGAGAGGGGCAGCTATATGCAATTATTTTCTGGTCCAGTATGAAAAGTAAACCAACATAGGTACAACTTTTTGTTGGCTATTCCAGGCCATTTCACACATTGAAATTAATCTGTTTTTCAATGGCAATTGCTTAGTGGTTTATTGTCTGCTACTGAGGAGTTATTTATTAAAGTGCTCCTTCCCTTCAATCATACTTTATAACTTGTTTTTCATATTGAATTCCAAACATGCTGTTGCTTTAACCGAATCATTCATGGTCACCTGATAAATTAGCTGTTGCCAATAAAAAGTACGCCAAAACACCATCTTCAAATGATTACTTGTACTTTTTTCTTTTCTATATCTGTTGTTAAATTCAATCAAGAACTTTAGGGAAACTGGGTAACCAAAAAAGTTCTGTCCGTTTTTGATTAGTCATTGAATGAAGTTGAAATATATATGAAATGCGTGTAGCAATTGTTTTCAAATTCGACAGCCGGAAGTAGGAACATCAGACGTTATAAAAAACACGCGCACCGTGCCCGGCCATCAGTTATAAGCCAGACAGCTGTGAGAAGGATGGAAGTGTCTAGAGATCTCATTCGGGGCTGTTTGCTTTACGACTTCAAAGTGGGCTTATCAGCAGCTGCATCAAGTCGCCGCATATGTCAAGCGTTTGGGGATAGTGCTGTGGATGAACGTACTGCAAGGCGTTGGTTTCGAAAATTCAAGTCGTGAGATTTGTCTCTCCATGATGAGCCTCGCAGTGGACGCCCACGGGTCTTGAATGACGGAGTCCTCAAGGCGGCCATTGAAGAGGACAGTAGTCTCACGTGTGGTGAACTTGCAAGACAGTTCAACGTTTCCGATGAAACAGTTAGACTTCACCTGCACCTAGCTAAGACGTACAAACTGAGCAAGTGGGTTCCGCAAACGCTGTTGGAGGTCCACAAGGCACAACGAGTGGCAGCCTGCGTATCGCTGCTTTCTCGCCACCGTACCGCATCCTTATTCAATCGAGTGCTTACTAGTGATGAAAAGTGGGTTC